TACGTACGACGTAACGTACGTATAGTCGTCGTCTACTATATATATATATATATATATATATATATATATATATATATGGTTGAAGGACTGTGGGAGAGAATTGCAAAGATCCATAGCCTCTAGCTGAGGGTGGCAATGGGTTGGGTGTGGTTGGGGTCCGGCTGGACCCCGATCCAGACTCGAATGTATTCGGGTCTAAAAGTTGGATCCATACCCATATCCGTCAGGTCTAAGGTTTGGTCGGGTCCATTGCCACCCTCACTATGAGCTTCTTTTTTTGTAGCATACAATGGTGAACAACAGATAACTAATTTTTGAGGGGTGGGCAATTAGAGAGAGAGACATTCGAGATCCAGAGAGAGAGCTATGTTCCGAAGAAACTGAGAGAGGAAGAATTGAAAAGAAGAAAGATAGCGATGGGGTTTGGCCATTTGAGAAACTAAAAAAAAACAGAAAGTATTGAAACGATTTTAGGGTTGAGGCTTTGGCCTATGGGTTAAACTAAAAATTCAGATCCGGGTATCCGGCAGGTTGGGTATAACAGGACCCATACTCATATTTGGGACTATCCAAATATCCTTTATTAAACCCGCGGCTCCAAAACTTGGACCCATACCTGGACCCATGTCAGGTATACCCTGCAGGTATGGGTCAGGTCCGGCTCCATTGCCACCCCTACCTCCAGCCATAAGGACCTAAGCCGCTAAGGAGGTGAAGAGACCTTTGTGCACCTATTGATTACATTTTAGGAGTCTCCTCCAATAATACAAGCAGTTGCTAATTGCCTTTGATGAATCAATTTTAGGCCTTAATCATAGCATAGAACTCTGCTTGATTTGCATATACCCAGCCAAATGGCTCAGCATAGGAAAAAAATAACAGCCCCATTGCAATCTTTAACAACTCCATCATATTATGCTCGTCTCAGGTTCCCTTGTGAACTCCCATCATAATTCACTTTTATGCTTCTCGATGGTGGTGGCTGCCATATAACTTTTGGGGGAATCTCAACCATGTGAAACTTAAAGATATGTTTTAAGTTGACCTTTATATCTACCTTAAAGATACCTTCCCCTTCTTTGCGATTGAGAACCATTCCCACTCCTAATGGAAAAATTTTCCGTTTAGATTCACTTAGCTCGAAATAACTTTTCCAAATGTTCTCTTGTTCCTTTCTAGCCAAACCTCCCATACGATAGCCGCATGGAAAATCCTTGAGATACTTCTCCTCACCTTTGGTAATCTATCTATCTCAAGCGCTATCAAAATGTCCACCTAGTTTTGAGACAGAGCTAGAAGAAATCCAATCATACCAAAAGCCCAAATCCAAATGGAAGAGGTAAATGAACAATATTTTCCAGTTGCTAATGACTTTGCCCTTGATAGAGCAGAATGGTGGAACAAAATTCATATATCCGACCCAAGTAGTTAAGATAAGACTCAAATGATAATAACGATGCTAATGACTTTGCCATAGGTGACATTTAAGCGCAAAAGCCCTAGACATACCCGAGTTTTCCTTTTGTCATACCTTTCATTTTTTCTTATCAAAGCTCTCCAATTAAACTCAGACCTTCCCCATTGAATTGAGGAACTCTGGCTTGGACTCCTGGCGAGTAGCAGTTTTTTTAAACACTGATATACACTTTTTCTCTTTCTCTCTCTCTTTTTCATTTTTCTATTTTTTATTTTTTTTTGAAATACTAAAGGTGGAAATGGAGCTTAAGCATTATGGTTGGGCGCATGCCCCACTAACCCCCAGTGCTATTCCCCTGGTGTCACCTATTCATGTCTCTGAAAATGTAGGGACCCTCCCTTTCATAATTTGTCCAAGTAGAAAGGTAGACTTTTGGTGGGTAGCAACTAACAAGCTATGGACCTCTCTCTTACTCGAGTTGGTGAATGCAAATTGAAAATAGAGAAAAGAAAGTTCCAAAATTGGCAGCAAATTAGTTATTAAAGTGGGTAAATATTTTTTCAAAAAGTTTAAGAGGTTCTATAGGTTTTATTAATATGCTCCTTATTTAATGCATGTGCATAATGCAAGTACTTACCAACGGAAAAAATAAAATAAAATCCTAGAGCAATTTGAATTTCTAATAAATAAATGAAGAGATGGTATAAAATGAGAACATTACTTTTGGTACAAAGAGGTCACAATTATTTATAATCATCCAATGTGAAATATAATAGCTTGAGTATGTTAAAAAGTTCGAAGAAATTTCATTTGAAATTTAAGCTTGGTCAATGGAATAAATGCAGCTACCCAATTTCACATCTTATAATCAAAACTAATTGTGACCCCCTAATGCTAAAAGCAAATGATATCATTGTAAGCAAATGATATCATTGTATTCCTTTTGGTAAGGTTTCTGTAAAGGAAAACATTGATAGCAATAGGACAATCTGAATCAAAACTAGTGTGCCTCCACTTTTGAAGGGAGAGATTTGTAATTTTTGGGAAATTTTTGAGAATTATTCGAGCTCTAACTAGTAAAAATCCACCGTTTTCTTGATTTGAGGTTCATTTTGAGTCATTTCATTTTAGAAAAATCTTCATTCAAGCTGTTTTTGATAGAAGTACAAGGTTTACAGCTCTATTTCTTGAATCAAAGAACCAACTTTCCGAAACTGCAAGATCCAAAATTGAGGTTCTCGATTTTGAACTCTCCAATCTTTTTGATTTGCGGTTTTAAATCCAGGATACTGTTATGGTCAAACTACAACAAGTACTTGCTCAATTTTTAGTCGCTTTGTGTAGATTTCAATCTCTTTGTTTGTATTTGTTTTTCAAGGAAAAATACTTTCGGTTTTTTCAAAATAATAGAATATTTTCACAAACCTATAAACCCATTTTGAATAAATTTTGACTTTTTTTTGTTTTTTTGTTTTTTTGTTTTTCATTTCACTTTGAGCAGCTCTCTGACTCGGATTTGGCTTTCTGACTCGCATACTCAATTGGTCGAGTAGGCCATTAGTTCATTTTCGGTGAATACCAGGAAAAACATTCCAAAATTTCCAATTCGAACACTAATAAAATTGTAAAAACAAACATATTATAATAAATTAGTGATTTCTCTTTCCAAATTTCCAGTTCGAACACTAATAAAATTGTAAAAACAAATATATTATAATAAACTAGTGATTTCTCTATCCAACTTTAGCATGCTAGGTGTATTGGGTGTGATGCTCTCAACACAAAGCCTTGGTCCAACTAAGATTATGATTATGGGTGAAAGTGAAACCAATACAAAAAATTCACTTGCTACGTGCACAGACAGTGAGCAAAGATTTATGTGCAAACCAACTCTCTCTTTCATATCTTGAGATGAAAACCAACTCTCTCTCTCTCTCTCTCTGTCAAATCTTGAAATGAAAACCCCCTCTCTCTCAAATCTCAAAATGAGCACCATCTCTTTCCCTCAAATCTTGAAAAGATGTCCAATTGTCTCTCTATCCTCCAGCTCTCTCTCTCTTTGGGTCAAAACCATCTCTCTCTTTTGGATTGTGAATGAAAATGACTCTCTCTCTTTCTATCTTATTAAATCTTGAAGTCAATGTTTAATAAAGCAGTTAGGTGACCAATTCCAGTTTGGATCGATTGGATTGGCAAGCCGGATAGTTTTTGAATTTGTTTGGATCGGTGATAAAAAAAAAAAAAAATATAAAATAAAATTAAAATTAAAATAGAGGTTTATGGAATAGAGATTTAAGGTGGACCACATAAAACATTAGATAAATTTAAAAAAAGCAGAAAAAAATAAAAAAAATGAAATGGAGGGTTTTAGTTAGGATCAAATCCAAACCATTCTGGAACTTATTCGATCCCGACCAATTCCGCATCCAGATTAACCACTCTGATGGAAAATTGCGAAGCTCTAAAACACTGCTTGAAATGAAAACCAATTCTGTCTCTAGTTCATGAAGTACAAATCCCCTCCCCCTTTCAAAACTCGTAAAACATAAGGTCCCTTCAAATATTTAAACGCTCTTAAAACTTTAAAGCTAAGCTTATATTTATAATAATAATAATAAAAACGCTCGAAATGTAAGCTTGCCCTATCCACCATGCCTCCTTGGTGGTCAAAACCGTAATTCGGACGAAGGAAAGGGTATTATTGATGTTTTCCGAAATTTAATGACTTGAGTATTAGCTCAGGCCACGTACCCCGAATTTATTGGCTGATTTCTTTATATTTCATTCATTGAACAAGTCGAGAATTCGTAGGTTCCGGGTCCGTAGCTTCCGAGCAACGAATCTCTGACCATTAGTATCGAATTCCCAAAATACCCTTTCTTTCTAAAATGATTAGATTACCCTTAATCCAACAAAAAGTTGCAAAAGAGACAAAAAAAAAATAGAAAGAATTTACATAAAGTGGTAGCCCTATCGAAGTACACCTCAAAAATTCACCAAAAAAAGAATGTTCTAAGTTGAAAAACTTTCCAATTAATCATCTCGCATGGTATAAAGAAAGATAATAATTTCAATTTCTAAAAATAATTCATCTTGTAGTAAATTATTTGGGCCATATCTTTCAAAATTTTCAAGTGTTTGTAAATATGCTCAATTAGTACTATTTTTAGAATTTTAAATTTCACAATTAGGGTTAAACATAGTTTTTCAAGCCATTGCAAGGTTTCTTATATCGGAACTATATCTTCCGATAAAATTTAGAAGTGCACCTTACTTGGATAGTATAAGGTGAGCACCTTATACAAACCTAACCCAAAAAACGAAAACATTTACTCATCATGGCCTATGTGTGTAGGAAACATCAGAGCTTTAATCCCACAGCCAAATTAAATTGAGAATTATTGAAAGAGAGTTTTAATCCTTGGATTGTATGTCAAAGTGCAAATAGAGTACAATGTATTTTCATTGTGTACAAGACTCTTTGGCTTAGAAGATAATACATAGACTAGTTGTATTCCTAACTAGGATTTAGTCACTGTGTACAATATAAGTTACAAAGCTATCTAGAAATGTGTCTCAGTGTTTGGCATAGAATGTGTCTCAGTGTTTGACATAGATATGAGTTTCAAGAACATCAAATACAATATCAACATTCAAGAAGTAAAATGTTCATGGGTCATTTAGATACTTTTATGACAAAATTTTCTCAAAAAAATTAATAAAAAATAGTACTAAAAAATTTAAATAAAAAGTATCTAATATTTAAAATTATGAGAGGAAAGTGTCATCTTGAAAATACACCCAAAAGTGTAGACATGCATGTCCATTTCACATGGTGCACCATATCAATAATTTGGGAAAAATACATCTAATCCAATGGAAATTTCCCTACAATTGTAAATAATTAAACACATTCAAAAGAAATAAATAAATGAACAACTAATCTTTTCATTTGTTTACTTGGGATCCAGCATTGGAACTTTGGAAATTTTATATTCACCTGTATAGATTTTCTAGTTAATAAAAAAATATTTTCGCTTTTATGCTAAAAGAGTATGTGAATTTTAGATTTTTAATTTTTGGGTAGGAGAAAAGAGTTGCTTGTTTCAGGTAAGGTTTTACAAATGTATTCAAACCAACCCAAAAAGTGAAAGGAGAATTATTACAATGAAAAGAAAATAAAAAGAAAGGAAATACAAGGAAAAAAAAACGGGGGTTTCATTCCATGTCAAAAAAAAAAAAAAAAATGATAAATACCAAAAAAAGAAGAAGGCAAAAGTAAGATACAAAAGAAAAAATAACGCAAAAAAATGGAATCCAATATAAGTATTATTAAAATTCCTGAGGGTATTTCAGGTAATAAATACAAAATGGAAATAAAAAAATAGAGAAAGCAATAAAGAAACCGTTATATGTAAAAAACAAAACCGTTATTTTATATACGACCAAATAACGTACACAGTACGCGTGCTCGTGCCAACGTCCATTAAAATATTACTAAAAATATATTTTTACTTTATCACAAGTATTTTATTTTCAATTATTATTCGTATTTTATTTCATCACAATTTGTATGTTTAAGCTGGCTTTGTGTTCTTTGGAGGAAAGACTGATTTCGATCAGCGGAAAACAAAAATAAATAAATGAAAAGAGAGGGAGTGCGTGAAGCTACAGAGCTCTGTTCTTTTCTCCTTTGAATCTTAGATCTGTTCGCCCTCGAGCCTGCTCCTCTTTAGGTATTTTTGGTCCCTTTTCAATGCATTTCCTCCCTTTTCATGTTTTTGTTCAGTTTCAGCTCAATTTGAGCTTCTCATTGATGCATTTCGCGGGGTTTAGGGTTTGGAATCTGAAGAGTCATGGGAGCTTTTATGATCGTTCTAAATTTTTGAGAAAGTGGACGTGTTTCGAGATTGAATTCTTAATTCGAGGAATTATTTGTGGTTTTGCTATTGTGGCTTGTCCTTTGCTTGGAATTTGCAGGAACAATGTGTTTTGGGATTCATAGAATCAGAGATGGAAAAAATTTGTAGCCCGTTGATATTGTAGAATGGATTTGTGTAAAACTGTAATTTATTTGTAGTTTCTACTTTGTGTGATTTACGTTTTTAGCTGTTGGAGCATTTTGAGGATCTCAAAGCCATATATCATGTGCATTTTACCATAAACTGTCAATTTCTTTTTCTTTAAGAAATAGAATGAGTGATATTTCGAATTCTTTTTTTTAATTAATGATTTATGTGTTTTTCTTGGAAGTTTGAGAATGGAATTAGCTTCTTACTAGTAAATTGTATGGTAGTGCACTCCTTTTTGTGTGTCTTTTTGGGAACAATCATATAAAAACTGAAATGATCTCTCCATTTTATCTCAGAGACTGGTGTTGCTTTGTGAGCTGTTGTTTAGTTGAGTAATTGTTGATTGTTTGTCATAATTCATTTATGACCATTTGAGTATTGGGATGTGAGTTCTTGCTTCTAACTTGAATTCTTTGTTCTCAAACACTAGATTTTATGGTTTGAGTTTGTCTAGAGGTGGGTTGATTCATGATGGACTTGTTCGGCTGAAGTTAAGCTGTTCTCTTAACTTTTTCAATGAAATGTGACCAGAATTCAGTTCTTAATTTACATAAAATCAGTTCCTTAGATCCTTTTCCTCTCATGGTTAGCAAATGTTAAATATTTTTCCGTAGACATTATTATATAATCATCATCAAAGCCTTATCCCAATTATTTGGAGCCTTCCATACAGATTATATAATATAAAAAGAAGAAGCATTTGTTCAAATGGTTAGAGTTTATTTTGGTGTCCTATGACTGCTCGTGTGGTTTGAGTTCTACTTGACCTTCGGACATAGAAGCTGCTTGATGTCTGTTAAAAGTAGCATCTTCGAGAAATATTTTCTTCAAGCATCAGGTGTTTATAATTCTAAATATGCCTTGCATGGTCGTTTCCTTTCAAGGTGAATTATTTGTTTGGCCTTCGAATTGATGGATTAATAGTCATGCTTCTAGGAGTGAATAAACTGTTTGACTTTTCAAGGTTTCCCTTTTTTTTTCAGTTTGACCTGAGTTAATGTTATTTTGGCCATCTTCATATAAACTCTACTTGTTATTGTTTGGATCCTTCTTTCTGAAGCCAACATAAGCCCTGTATTCTGCTTTTACTGATAAAGATTCCTTCATGGGTCTTCAGATTCTGATGTTCTCGGGTTCCCTGGAAGTTGGATTATCATATTTGTAGTTGGTATTCTCCTTCAATGCTTTCAAGCTGAATGGGAAGAAATGTGAGACACAGAATCATGGTGATGTAGATGGCGGATAAGAGTATCTCAGAGCGTGGTGGGAGGGGGTACAAGGAGATGCAAATGACTGTTGCCCAACGTCAAAGGGCTTCAAGGAGGCCCATATGGATTATCGTGTTGGTTTCTATGGTTTGCATCTCACTGATATGGGCATATGCCTACCCACCTAGGCATTATGCAGCTTGTTATTTCTTTACTTCATGTGACCCCTTTAAGTTGAGATTTCCCCCTCCTCCTGCAAGAATTCGCACCGATGAGGAGATGGCAGCTCATGCAGTTATTCAAGATATACTAAAGTTGCCCCCAGTTCAGACCAAGAATGCAAAGATAGCCTTCTTGTTCTTAACTCCAGGTTCCCTGCCTTTTGAAAAGCTATGGGAAAAGTTCTTTTTTGTAAGTTATCCATACGCATATGGTCCATTGCCTATATTAACTTCTTGATTAACTTGATGAATGAATCAGACAAGTGTATATTCTAAAATCATTATTCTGCTTTGCATGTAGGTGGAGTTGAGCTCACTCTTAAGGGCACTGCTTAGTAGTTATCCACAAAATCTAATTCTATTTTGGCATTTTCTTTTTGTTTGCATCTGAACTGGCAGGGACATGACGGCAGGTTCTCTATATACATACATGCATCTAAGAAATCTATTTTGACGACACAGCGTGCGAGCCATCTATTTGTCAACAAAGACATTCGAAGTGAGAAGGTATTCTTGCCTTTCTGGTAATTTGCTGCTTAAATCTCATGTTAAAAATTTGCCTTTGGGCTGTGTGTTTGAAACTTTCGATCTTCAGTTAAAAGAATAGTATGGTTAATCATTTATTCCCATCTCACCTCAGAAATTTTTTACTCTTAACCAAACCATATGGTAGTAATTAATATTAAGAAAACTGAATCACATCTGACATATGGTTCTTTTCATCCTTTGATTATTGAAGAATGCTTCACTGATGTCAGGTTTATAAAATTATAATTATAATAATTTTCTTGGCATTGATGAAATTGTTAGTCATGAAGATGACGTCTGACTATAAATAATTCTAATTCTATGCAGCAATGTATCTGGAAATTTATATTGGAAGCCAATATGTGGGACATTACAACTGGTCAAGGTTGCCAATGCCATTATTAAAGAATTGGAAATGTAAGCAATGAGACCATTTACTTTTGATATAAGGAGGTCACAATTATTATTGACCGTTGAATATGAAATCAGGTGGTTGAGGATGTGTCATTGATTAGCCACAAAGTCTAAAATAAAATTTCTCGAATGTTGCAACACTTTAATCATTGGATCTCACATCCAATGACAAAATGATTGCGACCTCCTTGTACCAAGAGTAAATGGTCTCATAGTATACAATCCCTAAAGAATTTTACCTTCCTACATTTAGCTCTTTTAATGAATATAAGTTGCTGGATTTGGTGGAGTTGTGGGAATGAAATGTGATTTTTGTCTATGCATACATTTTCTTTAATATTTAGTATCATATTTTCCATAGCCTTGTTGAGTTGTTTTGAATGATCTACTTTTGACATATTTATAGACGATACACATGTAGGTCGACTGGGGTAAAATTTCAATGGTTGATGCGGAGAAGAGACTTCTGGCCAATGCACTTCAAGATCCTGATAATCAACATTTTGTGTTGCTCTCAGACAGGTGCCTATGGTGTATAAACTACAACAATATCTCAGGAGCTCATTGAAGTGCTTTGTGGTGCTAACATTTCCTTTTCTTATATGTATTTGTTGTGTTGCAGCTGTGTGCCGTTACATAACTTTGATTATGTCTATAGCTATCTGATGGATACCAATATAAGTTTTATCGATTGGTGAGGCACGCTTCCTGCCTTTTGGCCCATGAAAATCTTTGATTCTTCTTTTACAAGAGAGGAATACTTATCTTCATCATGTAGTTTTGAATAATTTAGGTGTTTTTGCTAGTTAGATTTTATCTGAAACATTTATTTGTACCATTAACATAGATGTTTTAAGAATTAAGTTTGAAGAAAGCTAGATGCTTATCCTGACTGGTAATTAGTGTATGAATTTGAAGATCTATTTGATTGAACTGTTTTACCCAGCTTTGACGATCCTGGGCCACATGGCACTGGTAGATACTCCAATCATATGTTGCCTGAGGTGGAGAAGAGTGACTGGAGAAAGGGTGCGCAGGTATTTTTTCATCTTCTGAAAGAAAATTTGATTTCCCTCTTATAGGTTTCCTAATATTGGATTGGAAGACTCATTTTCTCTTAAGTGAAAATAGCGATATCCATGGTTGTTATGTATTGAAAAAAACACTAAAATATGGAAGTGTGGACTCCGCTCATTTACTTTGCATGGTCTTTACCTGGTCTCATGTGACAACAATCATGGGGATATAGCTACCCGATTCATTAGATATGTGTTGTGTGTCCTTTGAGAAATGGGAAGCATTGCCATAAAATAAAAATTCCTATGCATGCCAGGGTTAGGATGAGATGCATCTTTGCTTATTAATATCACTATTACCACAATGCTAAATCTAGGGCCTATAGAAACTAGGAAAACTGAGATTATGTCATTATCCTTGATACACTATGAATAGTTGGACCTCTATCTAGTCTTCTGCGCCTGTTGAGAGCTCACAAGGTTTTCTTTTATTGTGGTCATATTCTTGATTGTAGTCTACTTTTTATTATTTGATAGAATGTTATCCATTAAATGATCAAGCTAGGACTTCGTTATGAAAACTTTATTTAATTCATCAAATGCCTATTTCAAGTGGACGCATGAATTTGTGTATGCTCCAGCTCAAAGGGAAGTCTTGATGTAATTAACGGATTGGAGGGGCATTTTAGTTGTTATTCTTCTTCTTGAATTTCTCATAGAACATAACCATTCTTATGATTGTGCTGTCCAGTTGTAAATATTCATTTAACATATTATGAGAAGGCCTATGGAGACTTTCCTCATCTTCATTCCTCTAACAGGCTGAAATATACATGCATGTTTCTAACATGATCGTATAACCTGAATGACCATGTTGGACACGCATTAAGGTTTATTCTAGGTTTCCTTAAATTATTGCTTTTGTCAGAAACCTCAATTCTGACATATCTTAGCTCAATTTACTTATGAGGGAGAAATAGAGATCAAGACTACCTGTGCATGCTAATTTTAATGAATATTATTCCAGCTGATACTAAAGTTCTTTTGATTGTTAACTTTTCTGCTGACACTAGAGTTCTTTTGATTGTTGACTTTTCTGCACACACTTTTACATTTTTTAGAGTTAACTTTTCTGCACACATCTTTTCATTTTTGGTGTAGGATATTGGCCGCTTCTATTAATATTCCTCCCAAAAGTGAAATTCATTTGTAGCAATGGGCATGTAGCTATCCAATGAATTGTGATCTTAAGGCTCTCTCTGTACACATTCTATTTTGATAATAATAGAAACTTTATCGAGGGCTGATTTTGGTTTCACATGATTGATTGAACCCTTTCTTTGTAACCTATCTGTAGTTTTAGAATATTCTGATGAATGTTAAGCCACAGTACAAATGTTGAAGAGTTTGGTGTTTTGCAATGTTAAGGTCTTAATACTTGAGAAGTGCTTCAACAGATACTCTCGGCGAGTGATAGATTCTCTATCATTGTTCTTTGGTCTGTTAAAATTTCGTTCCATCCCATGATAAATTTAATCATTCTATTGCAGTGGTTCACAATGAAGAGACAACATGCGTTGTTGGTTTTGGCAGATGGCCTTTACTACTCCAAATTCAAACAGTTCTGCAAGGTACTTAAGTGCTTTACCCATGATGATTGGACATATTGAAGATTGTGAGGACCATTTTTCCCTTCTAATTCAAATCGTGTTACATTTTTCTGGGTTTTGTAATTTTGTGTGGCTCTCTTCCACTTTGGGGTTGCCATGTTAGGCAAAAGATTTGTCATTATCATCTGTTTGAATTACATAGTCAGTTTGACGAAGTTAATGTTTTGAAATGGTATGCTGATATTTTCTGTTCCTTTTCAAATAATATGCTGATATATTTTTTAATTGTCACAGCCAGGTTTGGACGGCCGTAATTGCTATGCTGATGAGCATTACTTGCCAACATTTTTCCATGTGAGCGAGTAGACTATTTTCATTGTAGGCTTAACCTAATTATTTATAGAAATATAATTTTGCGTATAGCTTCTAAATGAGACTTTAATCAAAGCTCAAACTCTTCTTGGATATCCATCAGATGGTGGACCCTACTGGGATTTCCAATTGGTCCATAACTCATGTAGATTGGTCTGAAGGAAAATGGCATCCAAAAAATTACAGAGCTCAGGATGCTACCTATGAACTGCTGAAAAATATCACGGTCTGATATCAACGCTACCACCCCACCTCTCTCTCTCTCTCTCTC